ATTCTAGCTAATGACCAGCATGCAGAAGTCTTTTGCTGTGAAGTAATGTCTTCAATTTACTTTGAAACACATTCAAAACATGAAATGGATTGATAGATAAATAGAAAAATACTAATTGTAACATATGAGTAGTAACTATATGGGTCTTCACTGTACTATTCTTTCAATTTTTCTGTATGTTTGAAAATCTTATACTAAAATATTAGGGAGGAGAATCTAAAGAAGGGAGGAAGAATCCTCCTCATTTCTTTATGAATGTAAACATTGGCTTCAACCCATTGAGGACACAAATGCATTAGCAGCAACTAGAAAGGAACAGGTATCCAGCAAAAATAGTGAAATTTCTGGGAGAGGTGTCCTAGAAGATAGCAATGCCCAGTGGAAATGGTGGTGCCCAAATGGAGATGACTTGGTGTGAACCTGAAGATATTCCATGAGGAGGCTGAGGAGGCAGAGACACCAGACTATAGCCAGAGCAAGAGAAGAAGAAAATGGTGGATGCTATGAAGTAAATGTCAAGACTCATTTATAGACATGTGTGAGACATACCCTGGGGTTTGTACCATCATTTGCAACCAAACTATCAGTTTCTCTCTTTGGCATTTCTATGTCACAAATGTTGAAAGTACTCATCGTTAGAATCTAAAGCAATCTTCTGTGTTTGGCATGTTAAATCGAAGGAAATTTTTTATTCCTCTAGTTGGGGTCAAATGTTTTCAATATTGTCTAGTTACATGAAGCATTATATTTGTATTCAATGAAGAAACACTAAGCATACAGGTAAATGAGACAAATCAAAACATTTCTTGAAGTTGGCACCTATGTTTGTCCTTAGCACAACTACACTAAATAGGGACATAGTGCCCTAAGAATTAGTCCATATCCAGAGTTTTCTGTTTGTTTTTTGTTGTCGTCATTTTTACTGAGATATAGTTGACATATAACATTGTGTCCAGGGTTTTCTTCATTGTTAAAGACTGATCCTAGAGAAGGAACTTTCATTTCCCCCTTCACACTAATCAACAGATACTGTACATAAAAGCTCACGACCTGCTACATCATGATTCTCTTTCAATCTCTCTAGGGTTTTACCGATATTTTGCTAGAAAGAGTCATGCATGGGGGAGCAAACATTACAGGATTCCAGATCGTCAACAATGAAAATCCTATGGTTCAGCAGTTCATACAGCGCTGGGTGAGGCTGGATGAAAGGGAATTCCCTGAAGCCAAGAATGCACCACTAAAGGTAATGTTCCATGGCATGTAGACACCTTAGGCCAGCTTTTCAAAGCATCTCAGTGTGGTCTTTATACATTTACAGCCATCCTGTGATCAAGTGGTCTTCCCTCAAAAGTGTTTTAAGGATGCTAAAACACAACCACAGGTCATGCTGCTGCATTTGAAAACTAAACTCCTAAATAAAAAAGTGATTGAGAAGGAGGTCTTTTTAAAACCCAGTGTTGGGGAATGTTAACATGATTTTGTAATGAATTTCATTTATAATATGCTAACAGTTTAAAATATTAGAAGAACCTGAGTCGGACAAGCGGTAGGAGCAGTGGGAACAGCTAAGGAAGATTGATAGTCTGAAACAGAAAATTAGATTTTACATTATTTATATGATTGTTTTGTGTTAATAAGTTTCATGAATTTCAGCACACCCAAGTGAATTAGGCTCTAATACAGAGTATGTGTTGTCTATACATATATTGAACAGAAATGTTTTCCTGCCTGCAAAAAAAAGTATCTTTAAAAATAATTAGGTTACCTGAGTTGCTCATTTTCGTGAAATCAAGATAAGAATATTAAAGTAAAAAGTCATGCTTAAAGTGCACATTTTTCATATGTGTTCCCCTATAGCTAGAAATTCTATTATTTAAAAATCAGAAATTAAAACAGCTAAATTAAAGGAAAGTTATTCAAGTTACACAAAGGATCCTTCAAATGCATTTTTTTAAGTAACCATTTCCTCGGTGCATTGATTCAAGTATGAAACTAACTTTAAGTTCTTCTTTCTTGATATAGTGAAAGTGTACATGTACCATGGCTGTGGGAGTCCTGTGATCAAGACAAGGGGTCAAAGTATATTGAAGACCCTTCTCTAAAAAAGGAAAGGGGGAGGGACATATTTCCTTCTTCATGGTTTCAAGATACCCATCCTCACATACCCCCTAACAAGAAAAGAGTAAGGGAGAACAATAGGGATATAGACCAGGAAAGAGAGACATTCTATACCATCCAGGCAGGTCCACCCTGAATGGGTCACATCAGATCATAATACATGTAGGATCTTACTTTATGTAGTTGAAGTTAAACGTAATTTTTTATTCATTTAAACCACTCACTAATTAAGTGGTATTCTGTGCTATAGTGGTTATAGTATACATGCCAAATCATGTGTCAAATCAGGTGTCCTCAAATGTTTCAGCTAACATGGTCACAATTCCTACAATGAATCCTTTGTAGTCAATCTTTTTTATAAAGATGATTCATTTTTATTTTTTGTTGAGATATAATTGACATATAACATATTAGTTTTAGGTGTACAGCATAATGATTTGATATATGTGTATATTATAAAATTATTACCAACCCCTTAAGTTTAGTTAACATCCATTACCACCAGAGTTACAATTTTTTTCTTATGATGGGAACTTTTAAAATTACTTTCTTAGCAACTTTCAAAAATACAATACAGTACAGTCACCATGCCATGCATTACACCCCCAGGACTTATTTATCTTATAACTGGAAGCTTGTACCCATGGACCACTTCCACCAATTTTCCTCATCCACTTCCCACCTCCACCTCTGGCAACCACCAATCTGTTTTCTGTTTTTATGAGTTCAGGGTTTTTTTAGATTCCACATATTACTGAGATTACACAGTATTTGTCTTTTGTCTGAGTTATTTCACTTAGCACAGGTCCTCAAGGTGCATCCATGTTGTTGCAAATGGCAGGATTTCCTTTTTTCATAGCTCAATAATATTCCATTTTATATATGTACCACATCTTTATCTGTTCATCTATTGATAAACAGGTTATTTCCATGTCTTGACTATTGTAAATATTTCTGCAATTAATATGGGAGTGCAGATATCTTTTCAAAATAATGATTTCATTTCTTTCAGATAAATACCTGGAAGTGGAATTGCTGGTTCATATGGTAGTTCTATTTTTAATTTCTTGAGGACCCTCAATACTGTTTTTCATAGTGGCTGTACCAATTTACATTCCCACCAAGAGTACACAAGGGTTCCCTTTTCTCCACATCCTTGCCAACACTTGTTATTTCTTGTCTTTTTTATAATAGACATTCTAATAGGTATGAAGTGATACTTCATTGTGGTTTTCATTTGCATTTCCCTGATGATTCAAATCTTTTCTATGTACTAAATCTATCCACTACATTTAGGTGAGCTTATACAAATTTATAAGCAGCCTATACACAGCTTTGCCATTCTTAGTTTTATCAGGTAGGGAAGAAATTTTTATTTATTCAACATTTTAGGGGTTACCTACAATATGTCAGGCATTGTGTTAGGCACAAAAAGTGGACTAGGGTAAACATATGAAAAGGCTACTACAGAATAGTTTATGCCTCTTCAGAAGTTCTAGAGGTTGTACAAAAGAGAAGGAAGACAATCTCAGCTCTGGATTATTCACTGATAACTCTTGGTATGTATAATGTAAAGTTATCCAAACCTGATGAAAGGAACTGTTAAGTTATCTGAAGGGTTTTACTTATAAGCCTTAAGAAAATGGAATATTTAAATACATGGTTACAACTCTCAGATTACTTTTGCTTAGGACTGGTCATTCAGAAACCTTTCTCTATATCAATTAAACAAAAGCCCACTTTAAAAAATTATGTACACTATTTTTTATTAGGAAATAAAATTGTTTAGAGATTAAAATCCTGATGCTTAATTTATTCTATATTTTATGAATGTTTCCTTTGGGAGCTCTTTTTACATGCTCACACATTGGTAAGTAGAAGCTGAAATAACAGAGTATTAAATAGCTCTTCTGGAATGGCTTGGAAAGGCAGCTGGAGAAAAACCACCACCATGTTGGCTTTATGTAGTGCTAGAATGAGCAGACACAAAGATCTTTTTTTCATGAAAAAAACATATGCCCTCTGTTATAGTCATACTTGATGATTTGCTTCTGAAAGAACAGTGACATGAAAAAAGTCAGAAAAGTAAATTGGTAATTGTAAAGATGACAATGTATTCACTCCCAATTGTATTTAGACATAGTGTATATAAGACAACTCCCCCTAGAACATTTTGCTTCATTTTTTTAAAAAAAGCAACAGAATTCTATATTCCCCCAGTATTTGTCACCCCCTACAAAACATGGGCCAGCTTATTTTAATTAAACATTGATTCATTTAGTAAAAAGGCATCCACCATGTCAAATTGCAGATAATCTAATTCCTTGTTTTAAGTAACTGGCCTCAACCCTAGTAGATGCATACCAATATATCCAAGGAATAGAAAGGAAGTGTTCTTGCCTGAAAGAGGTAGCATCATGAATTATTGCCTGTAAATTATCAATGATTTCATATTTAAAACTCAGTAACGATTGTAATTTTCTACAATCAAAAACCAGCTTTAGGTTTTGCTCCCCCCTGGAAACAAAAACTGATTTATTGCTAACCAGAGGTCCTAGTTCACCAGAAATGTGGTCCAGACAGAAATGATTAATGTTTCCCTCCAAATTAATTTCAAGCTGTCTAACTTAGCTATTTCCATTTTCCCCTAAGTAAACACCAGATCTGAATTTTCTATTAGAAATAGCAATAACCCAGTCTCCCTTTAGGATATGCTGTTTCCTCTCCATTCTACATATGCCATCCTTTAACTTCATATGTTTTTCTTTCTTTATAAAGGATCTGACCTTTTTAGTAGTCACTTAGTATGAAACACAGTATTGAGAGCAAGAGAGAGATTCCCTTGAGCCATATGATCTTAGTAATCTTAACATCTGCACACATGAGGTAAGAAGCATTATTCTAAAATGAATCAAAGTCAGCCTTGTCCAGAGAGACCTCTTGATTCAAATTATTAAGAGGGTGATTTTGTAGAGCAAGAGGTAGAGACGAATGAAAATGACAAGGAACAAGTCAAGTTTTGAGGGCATCATTTGTCATGGTATCTTGTTTTCTATACATCCTTTTCAGTATACATCTGCACTGACACACGATGCAATATTGGTCATAGCAGAAGCTTTCCGCTATCTAAGGAGGCAGCGAGTGGATGTGTCCCGGAGAGGCAGTGCTGGAGACTGCTTAGCAAATCCTGCTGTGCCCTGGAGTCAAGGAATTGATATCGAGAGAGCTCTGAAAATGGTAATGACCACAATGGATTATAGGGTGGGAGACCTTATGAAGACACAAAAAATGAGACATCAATCTTGAGAAAATACATACTACAAGAAATAGGATCAGAGTTTATAAAATGTCAGATGGTGCTGAAAGATAAGCATGGATATTTGTTCATCAAAATCTAGAAATTTAAAACTAGAAGTTTCTTCCTTGAAGCTTGAAAAATGGCAAATTTAGGACAAATGAATATTTAGTTCTGTGCTACACCACAGGTAGAAAATCAAACTCAGTACCATCAAAAGTTATGCAAATGACTTCAGAAAAATTCAGACTTTCCAGAAATACATTACTGAGGGGTATTGAGATATTTTATATAAAGTTCCTACCTTCAAGTTACACATTACAAAGAACAACAGCATCCTCTGGCTCACCAGACAAATTTTTAGCCTGGATGGACTTTGGAACTAAGTCAGTGTGATAGCATTTCTGTTGCCAAAAAGATCCTTTATACTATTCTACATGGTGAAACGCAGGAACATGATCCATTTCTAGGCCTACTTAAGAGGCTTTCCCCAATGTCCCAAAGAAAAAGCCTAAAGAAAAGTACAAAGAATCAATGGATAGACAGTCAAATAGATCACTTGTTTTCAGTATGTACAGGGTAAGTCATTTAAGGCTTCAAGCAGTGTCCTTTGAACAGATTCCATTATTTACACAAGGAGCAGCATCACCCATTGATTGCAGTTTTCCAAGTAAGAACTCTTTTCTGAATATTTTGCTTTATGTTACATGTGCCTGCATGCATTAAAATGAGCCTTTGAGAGCACAAGACTCTCTTATTTCTACTTATTTAATTATCCTGATGTTTGGGACATCCAAATTAGCAAAGAGATAGGCAATGGTAAGATAATTCTGTGCACAATCCAGCAACGAAGAATTTGTAATAGCCTCATAACATACATCATTTTGTGTAGTTGGCTCTCTTACTGCTGCCTTAAGTTTGCCAAGTTGGAAGCATTCAATCAAAAGGGGTTAGTAGCCCTTGTGTCTCTCTCCAAGAAAGAGATATGACTCATTCTTTCATCATGCAGATTTTTATGTCATTATGTCAGTTCCCTAACAAATGCCCTAAGTGTCATTTTATGGAGGTAGCACTGTACAATTTTGAAGAGCAGTTAATTAAATTCAACCTTCATAGCAGTTACAAGATTTGTATTGTCAGGTGAAACATAATGATGAGTGAAATATAAAACTCACTCAGAGTGAATCAAAAGGAGTTTTCAGCAACAAAACCTCAAGGGGCAAGTTCCAGCATCTCCAATTGACTCCCTACTCATGATACAAACAACTATATACCCCAAATAGAAAACAGGCTACCAGAGTGAACAGCAAGAAATTAATTTTACTAGAAATAAAGATTAATTATACTATTGCACAAATAATCTCTACATGTGTAACTCACTGATAAAGCTCAAGCTATAAGCCAGGTAAGTAAACTTTCTCCCAGGCCTTAATGATCAAACACTCAATCAAAAGAATTTGTGTAGCTGGCTCTCTTTGATGGTCTCTCTACAGGCCAACCTCTTCCTATTACTCTAGAGACTGGAAAGTATCAACATTTTTCAATAGTAGATGATCCCTCATGATAAACGCTCAGTAAAACTCCACTATTCAGAGCAACTTCAAGGGAGGAGGATCTGAAATACTAAAGGTTTTACTATGTTAAAAGAAATTTCGTTTAATTTGAGTTCATTAAAGTGAGAATGTGTGATGTAGAAGTATCCCTCATTTGACTAGCACATAGTTGTTGCTCAATAAACCAGTCTCTTCCTTCACAGAAATCTGGCCAACAAAAGCACTGCCTAATAGAGGTACCTAAGGGGCCTGTTTTAATGAATAAATAAGCACACCATTCAGTAAATATTTATTGAGCACCAACAACTATGTATCAAGCTCCAAGTTAGTATGCAAACATGAAATAAGATGAGGGGAGCTCACATTTAAATAGTTAATGTGTAAACAAATGCTTTTAAAGAGCTTAAACCCACTTGCAAATTGGGTAATCATTCTTATCACAATTGACATAGTGAAAAGATCAGCCTTAGCCCAATCTACTGAAATATGTCACAATGTTAAGTCACTGAGACTTGTCTACTTGTTCAGTAAACATTTATCAAGCAATTACTCTATCCCATTAGAGGTGAGAACACAGAAACAGAATGTCTCTCATCTTGAGATTTTCCCAACGTAGTAGGGGAGATGGAAATACATAGATGATTAAAATGTTATTGTTAAGTCCTACAGAGGTTGCAATGGGAACCCAGCAGAGAAGTATCTAATGTAGACTGAGGTAGGGGCAGGGAGAATTAAAGAAAGGATCCCAACTAGGATGATGAGAAACTGTCACATTCACATCCTTAAAAAAAGACTTCTTTCTAAGTGGGAGTCCAATTCTACTTCTGCTCACCAAAAGTTTTAATCATGGGGTCTGGAATCTCTTGGACATACCTAGACTGTTATCAAATTTGTATATCATGTTTAATTAGGTTAGACCTTTAGAAATATACAAATTNTGGGTAATCATTCTTATCACAATTGACATAGTGAAAAGATCAGCCTTAGCCCAATCTACTGAAATATGTCACAATGTTAAGTCACTGAGACTTGTCTACTTGTTCAGTAAACATTTATCAAGCAATTACTCTATCCCATTAGAGGTGAGAACACAGAAACAGAATGTCTCTCATCTTGAGATTTTCCCAACGTAGTAGGGGAGATGGAAATACATAGATGATTAAAATGTTATTGTTAAGTCCTACAGAGGTTGCAATGGGAACCCAGCAGAGAAGTATCTAATGTAGACTGAGGTAGGGGCAGGGAGAATTAAAGAAAGGATCCCAACTAGGATGATGAGAAACTGTCACATTCACATCCTTAAAAAAAGACTTCTTTCTAAGTGGGAGTCCAATTCTACTTCTGCTCACCAAAAGTTTTAATCATGGGGTCTGGAATCTCTTGGACATACCTAGACTGTTATCAAATTTGTATATCATGTTTAATTAGGTTAGACCTTTAGAAATATACAAATTTTTTTAATCCTCACCTGAGGATATTTTTTCATTGTTTTTCAGAGAGAGTGGAAGGGAGAGAGAGAGAGAGAGAGGAAGAGACACACACAGAGAGAAAATCAATGTGAGAGAGATACATCAATTGGTTGCCTCCTGCACTCCATCTTGAATAGAGTCTGGGATCGAGCTTGCAACCGAGGTATGTGCCCTTGGTGGAAATCGAACCCGGGACCCTTTAGTCCGCAGGTCTACGCTCTAACCACTGAACCAAACTGGCTAGGGCTAGAAATATACAATTTTTAATGAGGTTTGAAACCTTGGCTATTTTCAGTAATGAAGAATTTCCTTCATAAGTTCTTATGCCAGTGTCTCTGCCCTGCCTATATCCTCTCCTAGAATTCAATGTTCAAAATAGACTGTAAAGAACCATGCATGCATCACAGAATGCACCAGATTCATTCTACTACATAAGCAATTTCTATCTCAACAAAGGGCCTTTTCTTTTACTAGAAGGGTGGCATCACCTTCTCTGCAAGCCTAAGGTGACAAAAGTGCTTAGGTTTGTTGGGTCAGTTGTACAATCACCTTGGCTTCAGGAAGTCACATTGGAGCATTTCTCCTTCAACAAGAATTCCAGCTTTCCATTGGTAGTGAACAAGCCCTCTTCACTGTAAAACTATGCTCCCTAATAATAAAGCTATGCTCCCTAAAATAGATTTGCCACCTATTTTCCCTTCTGCAGCATAAGCCCATTACTACTTCTGACTTTCTTAACAGCTTGTCACTTAAAACAAATAAGTGATGAAAAAGTATTCCATTTTTTTCTTCCTAGGAAAATGAGACATATTATTTTTCTTTGAAGCAAGTTCTTCAGCCCTTACTCACCAAATGAGTGATTCAAGAGTATAACAATATTGACATATTTATAGAGGCTCTTTCAGGTAGTATCCCTGAACTGTAAAGTAGGTAGGGAAATCTCTCCACCCAGCAGAGATGGCCTGTTATTAGTTAGTTCATAACACTGGGCCCAGACCCAGGAAAAATTGTGGCACACATGAATCTGCATTTGCATCCCAAATAGTCTGCAGGCTATTCCAGTATCTCTAGCTTTCTTATCTAGTACTCCATACTCCTGATTCCTTAGACTTAATAAATCTCATCAATATAAAGATTATCCTTCTGTGGCCTAGCTCTCTGCTACCTGTCTATAGCTGGGCATAAGTTAAATATGAGGAAAAACTCACCCTGTTACTATGGTAGCTGGTAAATGTGTAACCCTCTCAAGAAATGGAACTAAATTCACTTTAATAATTATTGTTAATATACTTAACATGTATTGCAATGCTCACTACATGTCAGACACTGTCCTAAACATTACATATGTATAACTTATTTAATTCTCCCAACAACTTGAAGGGATAGGTACTTCTAGGATTTTACATTTTACAGATTAGGACATTGAGGTACAAATGTATTAAGGAACATACCCAAGGTCATACAGTTAGTAAGCGGTGAAGCTAGGATATGAATTCAGCAGCTCCAGAGCCCATGTTACTGAAACTAGTTTATTGGGACTACTAAGATAAGACACAGTCATAGCCCCAAAGGAATTTATAGTTAAGACTACTCTTCAGACTACTCCCTTAAGAAGAGATTAATGGTGGAAATTTCAGGCCCCTGAAAAAGTAGTGATAGGGTCCCCACTGTATCATATAGGTAATTGCCTATCACACCCACTCAAAGTTTCATAATTAAAAGGTATATCTAGAAAATGCTGGGGAGAAAACGAAGCTGTGTATAGACATGATTTGGTGGATATATAGCTCAATGATTCAAGATAAAAGTTCTCCAAGATTCCAAGATCTGTCAGCAGACCTCATCCCAGAGACCTAGAAGGCAATAATGCAGTGCCACTTTAAAATTTTACATTTTCCTTTCTACCAGGTGCAAGTACAAGGAATGACTGGAAACATCCAATTTGACACTTATGGACGTAGGACAAATTATACTATCGATGTGTATGAAATGAAAGTGACTGGCTCCAGAAAAGTAAGTAACCAAAACAGATATGCAAAGAAAAAGTCTTTCAAAAGGTGACAGCACCCAGATGCAAAACAAACAAACAAACAAAAAAAACAGGTCTTAGGAAACACACAAAGCAAATTCACACACATCATTTCTGCCTTTCCATTCAGCAAATAGTATAGATATGATGCACAGTTGTTTTGTAATCAGTGTTCCATCTACACAGTTTAAAAGGAATAGTTCCCTCTGAGTCTGGCCCTATAAATGGTAGACTCAGAGTTATTAACAGCTTCTTATAATAAAGGGAAGGAGTCACAAATTTTACAGCATATTTTTAGTTGAACAGAGGCTACCAAGGTACATACAATTTTAGACAAATAACATGCTTATAATGCCTGGCCTCCCTTTTGCTCCTTTCTTATTATTAATAAATAGCTAGTTAAAATAGTATCAAAGCAACTAAAAAAAAGTTTCATTCTACAACAGCACTTGAATTTCATGGCGTAATTTTTGAGTAAAAAATGGGCAACCAAGCCAAATGTCTGTTCTTTCTAGGCTGGCTATTGGAATGAGTATGAAAGGTTTGTGCCTTTCTCAGATCACCAAATCAGCAATGACAGTGCATCCTCAGAGAACCGGACCATAGTGGTGACTACCATTCTGGTAAGTATGGACAGAAGGTAGGTGGGCTTTCTGTACATCAAGACTTCTGCTTTCTGAAAAGCATTATTCAGCCAGTAGGAAAGACCTCAAGTTCAAGCAGTGAAAACTTCCAACAGGTCAGTATAGGAACCTCTCAAAGTATCTTGACATTATGATGAAGTGAATGTCATTTTAAAAAGAAAAATAATACAAATTTGGATCAGTTTCAGATATTATTCTCCTCTTTACCCCCTCCTTCCACTATAGGACCAATGCTTCATCTGGACTTAAAATCTAATTCTTCATTGTGGGGCAAGCTGCATTGTGTGGAGGAAAGTAGATTAGGGTTCTAATATACTGTCCAGTCTAACACTGGTAAACTAGTAAAATTGTACTTAATTGTACAAGTTACAACTTCTATGAGCCTCAGGTTGTACTTTTTAAAATTTATCCAATGGGTATAATAATAATAATCTCTTACCTATGTCATAAGACCATCTCAAGGCAATATTCATCATGTAAAGCTTTTCTGAAGAATTCAAAGAACTATTAAAAGGTGATATAGTTTCTCATTTAGTTTTAAAATATTTTTCTAAAACCTGGTATGTTTTTCTACTGAATAAAGTACAGACCTGGGTTAAAAATGAGTATGCCACTAGGTATGAAGTTGTGATGAATTGAATAGAGACTTGGCTGGAGTTCACCTTTCATTTAAACATATATATCAAATACTCACTTAGTCCTAGGTACTGTACTAGGTTCTGAGGATATAAAAATGGATAAGCCACAGACCCTGACCTCACAAATATCACAGTTCTTCCCTAAGGCTTGCCTGGGCTGGCTGTGGTTCCTGCAATGGTAAATCCCAAGAAATCAAAGGTGGTTCAACTTCATGTAACTAAGGGAAATACCTCAGCCCAGTTTGACTAAATCAAAGACTTTACAGGTAGAAACCAGTACCTCTTTCAAACTCTCAAAAATAACTTAAATCTTTCTCTACTTCCTTAAATCATTAGTTAAGGACTCCAAGGAATATGTAGCACACTGAATAGTTGGTTGAGGCTCTTCTGCTTATTGAGCAAAAAATTTTAAAGGCTCTTTTTACACACCAAAGTGCAATAACTATGGTGGGGGCTTCATGATTACATTTATCATCTCTTAGAAAAATGTATAGGAGTAATCTTTTGATCTTCCTTCTGGTCCCAAAGGAATCACCATATGTAATGTATAAGAAGAACCATGAGCAACTGGAAGGAAATGAGCGATATGAAGGCTATTGTGTAGACTTAGCCTATGAAATAGCCAAACATGTAAGGATCAAATACAAATTATCCATTGTGGCTGATGGGAAATATGGTGCAAGGGATCCAGAGACTAAAATATGGAATGGCATGGTTGGGGAACTTGTCTATGGGGTAAGTCCTTTTCAACTCTATTTTCATTTACTTCTATGCTTTCCAATTAACAAAGATAAAGGATTTAATTTTCAAGTGTAATATGTATCCAATTATATAGTTTTCATATGGTCTGTAAAAACATGGTTTTCTTCTACAGTTGAGTTCTGTAAAAGGAGCTCATCAATAGTATCCTTTGGGCAACAGGATTATATTACTAAAAGGAAAGTAGAATTGGGACATTCTACCTGGCAACATTAAGTACAGCCTGCCCTCTATTGAAAATCTGTTCCTTCTGTGTTCCCTGTCTCAGGCAACAGAATCACCACCCACCTAGTTGCCTAAGCAACCTGATCATCTTTTCTCATTGCTCTTTTCATATCTATTAAATCACTATATCCTATCAACTCTGTTCTTATGTCTCTCAAATCCAGACACACTCTTCACTTCCACCATCATCAACTTAGTTAAGGTTCTTACCATTTGTCAGTCATTTAACTGGTTTCCCTGCCTCCGCAAATCAGATCTCCACATCATTGTAATTTCCCACTTTAAAAATCAGGATAAAATTCAAATTCCTTAGCATAGCAAATAAGGCACTTCATAATCTGGCACCTGCCTACCTCTCCAGCTTCATCTTGTACTCTTTCCCACTCACACTCAATGCTCCAGCTATAGTGAAGCATGTGTTGTTCCATGAAGGTGCCCAGCCCTCACTTAGGGCATGCCTGGAAGTGCCTTTGCCTGTTTTAGCCAGCTAACATCACCTACTAGTCTCCCAGAACTCAAGGATATCAACTCTTTCAGAAAGTCTTCCCTAATCTCATTTACTCTCTTGCAGTCTGGTTAGGTGTCCCTGTTTTTTGCTTCCTTAGATTACTTTTTTGCTTTCTTATAGTACTTTTGAACTTGTATTATAATGATCTATTTACAAGTTCAGCTGCCCCAACTAGATGAGCCTGGTACATAATGGAAGTTCAACAAATACTTGTTGAAAAAAATTAATGAATGAACAGAATGCCTCTGCCAAGGGCTTGCCCATGGGCCAAGTACAGAAGAATTATACTGATAATTAGGGCTTTTAAAAAGAGTACAGCGGTATCTTCAGAGCTCCTCGGTGGCTTTGCTTTAAAAGATTCTGGCCTCTTATGAGGAATATCAGATCTTGGGCTGCCTAGTGAGGCATATGGAGAGAAGTAGAACTGGGCATAACAGCCCACTGGATGAACCAGTCACCAGTCAAAGTACAGGTGATGGCAGCAAAGCTTTAATTCTAACAGGAAAGGATTACTTACAATGACAAGTCTTTGTCTAGACAATTGGTTAAAGGAAGACAGGAGCCTAGGGGGTGAGTATACTGAGAAGAAGCTATCAAGAAGCAAACGTCCAAGTTACCTATTGGACTGAAAGTTCAGGATAAGGACTCTAGTGCTTAGAGATGGGAATCAGCAAGAATATGGTGGTAGCTATTCAATCATAAGATAGAACTGAGGCCACTAAGTAAGTTTTTGGAACAGGTCCTTGGGAACAAGCATAAAGGCAGAAGCTCATTTCTAAAAATAAGGGCACAGAGAGGGAATTAAGGTTTCAAATGAGACTGGACCTCAAGTATAAAAATTAGGGCACTATCCTTGAGTCAGACAAGCTGCAAAGCAGTTTGAACCTTAGCCCCCAACTATGGGGCTGGAGACAATTATCTCCTGTCTTGGGTCAAGCTTAGTCCTGGAAGTGAACCCAGTTATAGAAAAGAGAAGAACTTATAATGCCTAAGAGAGGGGGTTGAACAAGGGGCATAGCATCTGTCATGCTTCCCAAGGACGCTGAGAAACTCTGAATGGTCCTGACACAGCTTTAACCTCTTATTTTACAAGTTGGTGATCAAATATTCTCTTTCCTGTCCCTCTTTTTCCAAACACTCAGGGTCCAAAAGATCCTGTATTGTTCACAGTTCTTCGCTGCTCTTAGTTTTAGTTCTAATGAATGAATGTCTGGCATCCAGTATATTCATAGCCAATATTCATTAAATTGAGTTCATGGTAGGAGGTAATCCTATGACATCATTGTTGTTATTATTATTATTAATTATTAGCTACCATTTATCACATATTTCCTGGTTGCCAGATACTGTGCTAATTCCTTAAAGGCATTATATAACTTAATCCTCACAACATACCTCCAAGGGAGGTGCCATTATTAACACCATTCTACAGATGAAAAAATTGAAACCTAGAGAAGTGAAGTCTCATTCCAAGACCAACCAGCTTGTAGTGACCCAATGATTAGAACCCAGGTTTCTGACTATGAAGTCCATGTTCTTCAACCATTGCACTATACTGCCCAGTTGCCAAGGTATTGTTTCAGACCCATCTTATCCTAAAAGACAGTTTACTGCAAAAGCCCTTGGTGCCTTAGCCATTCTGAAAAGAGTGTTAGGCCACAGAAGCATGGCAAGGAATTTAGGTTGTCAGTTTCCATTGGGCCAGAGTAGAACTGACATGAGTTCTACAAACCCATCATGATCCAATAGCCAGAGCTCTCTAGTGTTTCAAAAGAAAACCTGTCTCACTCTGTAAATAGCTCAGTGCCCTCCTGGCATTAAGCAGGACATTAGACACAGTGATGTGGAGCAAGGCAGATTTCCTGACACTGTTCAGACAAAGACCAGCTTTCTCACTGGATTTTGATCTCTCCTCTGGCATGTCCTCTGTACTGGACTCACTTAATCTCCACATTTTCTTCCCCTTTCCAATTTGTGTATGTGTGAGTGAAGGAGCTTGAGAATTAGAGTTACTTATTTGTTTAGTAATTTAGAAGCCATCTCTCTACTGCTAAATATGTTAAAATTCTCCTGGAGAAATCTTCCCGTCTTTTCCCTCCAATTCTTTCTACTGAAGACCAAAGTAATAGCCAAGGAAGGATATTACAGAAATTTCCTCTTCTCTCCCATGACCTAGAACAAGTTTCTAATGCTTTCTGGGATTATAAATTATTCCAGGGAACTGACAGCAAACCAACCCATTTGAGTGGATTGCCAAATTTTACTTTCCTCTAAAACCTGTGGCTATGAAAAATGGATGTTTTTGTCATGTTTGGAGTGAGAGCTCTCTGTTAGGATGATGATCTCATAAGCTAAATGTGTTTTCATCTTCATTTAGAAGTTTTAATCTTCAGCATGGGGAAGTTTTCAACTTCTCTATCATTGGGAGAAATGGAGAAAAGTTCAAACACAGACAGTTGTTTCTGGCAGGCCTGTCCTCTCTTGTGGTTTGCAAGCTATTTAAGAAAAAGAAGGACAGAAAATCCCCAGTGACTTTCCTAAGTGCTTAATAAGCAAAAGGATGAAAAACATGGAACTTTTCTTGCAATGAACATGAACATGAGAACTATACAGATAGGCACTTCTTTATCTTAGGGTGTTTTCTCATGCTTTAAGTATGTAAAACTGATCAGATTAAAAAATGAAGACATGAAAAAAAGCTTTGCAAAGGAGATTTCAGTATCTGCCATAAGTCTCAAGAAAGAGTCAAAATGAATTAAATTTAGAAAAGAAGAAATAAGCCAATCAGCTCAGCCGGGCATGGCTCAGCGGTTGAGCATCGACCTAGGATCCAGGCGATCGGGGTTCAATTCCCGTTCAGGGCACATGCCCGGGTTGCAGGCTCAATCCCCAGTCAGGGGCCTACAGGAGGCAGCCGACCAATGACTCTCATCATTGATGTTTCAGCCTCTCTCTCTCCCTCTCCTTTCCTCTCTCTGAAATCAATAAAGACGTATTTAAAAAAAAAAAAAAA